GAGAGAGGTGGGGCATAGAGGACCTACAATAATGTACAGTATTTGAAAAATAATGTGTTTTTTGAACATTAAAGCATGTCAACATATTCTGTTACACCAAATACACAAAATAATGATCTTTAAAAAAGCATCATATGACCCTTTAATAATGAAAGTTAACATGAAGTAGTATCAAAAATTTGTGCTTGGCCTCTTCTGGCCCTTTAACTCAAAACACACTTGCAGTAATAAACAGTGGCGCCATCTTCAATAAGTCACATAAGGTCTTCTATTATCTACCACGAGTTAAATTTTCTCAATTTCATGTTTATTACTGAATCAGTGTGGATGTGTGCGTGACCTGTTTTCTCAATACAGCCAACTTCTATGAGAAAACAATCTGTGCTAGTGCATATTGAAAAACACTAAAACTATTTATTTCAGATATTTTCTAGATGACATGCATGTGTCTGTGTATACATATATACGCAAATACAGTTCTGCTTATAAGTTTTATAATCTGCAAGTTTTAGTGACTGTTTCTGGATGTGTGTAATAAAACTAAATGCATGTGAACACAGTTTTTTATGATTTTATTTTTAAGACGTTATAATTTTTTATTTAAGATGTTATCTCGCTCTTAAAAATGCTAAACATCTTACAGATGTAAGGGGTATGTATATTTAAGAGCACAATGTACATCATTATAGACAGTCTGGATTAGATAAAGCCTGACCTGCAAGTGGTTGTAGAAATATCTTTCCCATGGGGTGAACAAAAGAGACGCCGTCTTGTCCATCTGCTGTGATGCCATCAAGAAGGGGTGCATCACCACCTGGGCAAAGGTGACATCAAAATAAAAAAATAAAAAAATTGTCATTAAAACAAACAATCCACATTGAAAAAAAAGACTTGGGCTGCAAATGCACATGTGATGATTTAACAACGGCTGGACAATAATCTTTTTAAATGAAACATCTGCCTCACAAAGCAAGTCATTCTTTGTGATAACTAACAACAGACCTTTGTTTTACAGTATGTTCCAGTAAAAACTCACAGCAAGGGGTCAATAATAACTTTGAACAGAACATCTGAACTACAATCTAAACCTTGTAGCATTAGGCTTCTCCTGTGTTTCCATTTCAATGTCAAAATATTTTGCTTTTGCAGTAAAAATCAATAAATAAAAAGATAATCATAAATTCTACAGCATAATGCAATGTACTGGTATATCACATAATAAATAAAGGTATATAATACAATTTATTTTCCATATTATATACACTACCATCTAAATTATTTTTTTTATTTAATAATTTTATTCAGCAAGCACAAATTAAATTAATTAAAAGTGACAGTTAAGTCATTTCTTATACTATATGTTATATTTATAATGTTACAAAAGATTCCTATTTCAAATAAACTCTCTACTTTTGAAAATAGCACAACAATTATAACACTGACAATAATAAGAAAAGTTTCTTGAGCACCAAATAAGCATATTAGAATGATTTCTGAATAATTATGTGACACTGACGACCAAAATAATGGCTGCTAAATAATTCAGCTTTACATCACAGAAATAAATTATATATCAATATGTATTATTTTAAAGGGATATTTTATTTTATTTTAAAGCGTCGTAAAATTACGGTTGAACCCCTGATGTCACATGGACTATTTTACCGATGTCCTTGCTACGTTTCTGGACCTTGATCGTGGTAGTAACCTTGTTGTCTATGGGAGGGTCAGAGAGATCTCGGATTTTCTGGAATAAAAAATATCTTAATTTGTGTTCCGAAGATGAATGAAGGTCTTATGGGTTTGGAACGACATGAGGGTGAGTAATTAATGACAGAATTTTAATTTTTGGGTGAACTATCCCTTTAAATTGTAATAATATAATATTATAATATAATGTTTTATTGTATTTTTCATCATATAAATGCAGCCTCAGCGAGTTTATGGTTGTGATTGGGACATACTGTATGTGCAAGTGTTTTTAATCCAACATTCACCTCTGTATCCTCCACCACCGCCTCCAGCGGTGCAAGCGCCTCCACCTCCCCCAAACCCTCCAAATGTAGCCCATCCCAGCACTGACAAAGCCTCAGGACAGGATGAGCCTCCTTGACCTCCTTCCACAAGACATTTCCCTGCCCAGTGGAGAGAAGACAGGTCGCTCCACCCACCTCCTCCACCTAAACACACACAGAAATACAGACATGTTTACTCAGTGCTGGGCATGTTAGTTTAAAGGTGTTCCACAGAGAAATTCCTTTGGTTTGAGGATGCAAAATACTAATTACTGTATTTACTCATTGTCCGCTCTTCTACTTTTTTGGCAGATACATATGTCTATTAAGTGAGAGCCCAGAACTGCTTACATATGAAAGTTCTGCATAAAAAAGCATCCTCCAGATGCCAATCCCACAAAACTAGATAATGTGATCCTGATGGCTGAACTGACAGTATTGTGCTGTTGTGAAAAAGCTGGTAGGTAGTTAATGAAGTTAGAGAGCCCATAACACACTCATAAATGTGGAAATAGAATTCGCTGGAATAATACTTGTCCTTTATCCAAATCTAAATCACAGAGTAACTGTTAGCATTCAAAGAAAGTAATTTCAATATCATATCATATCACAGTACAAGCAGCTACTGAGAGTAGGCACTGTTCCTAATGCTGGACTTTGGGGATTGACTGGACATACATTCTACTGAACCACTAGTTAATTTACATGAACCAAAATAAACAACTTACAGATTGCCTGTATTATTCACTCAAAACCCCTAATTTTTCTGTGTGTGTGGGGGGGGGGGGGGGGGGGGGGGTCAGATAAAATTATAAATAATAGCATAGTTATATGGGCCATTCTGCTGTCCCGCAACCAAAAAACACTTTTAAAAAGCATTTAAGTATTCAAATCTTAGATGGTTGCTAAGATCCTTCTATTATCTATAGAAACCCACAATAATATATAAAATATTAGTAAGCTTAATATATATAAAATCATCATTTATTGGGTACTTTCAATTGGGAGGTGGCAGTCCCGAACCCTAACCCCTAAATTTCAACTTATGAAAATATTGAAATTATTCTTGTATTTTTTTTCCATTGTTGTTTTTAAAAGTATCTTTCTGATTATTTTAAAAAGTGAAGTTAAAAAAACATTTTATATTTTCTTTGTAAATTATGAAACTTTATGTAAAAAATGTGTCCCGCATTTTTCATGTCACTACCGAAACGGTGTATGTTTCAGTCCAGTGGCTGAGATTGATTTTAACTACACCCCTAAATTTATGATCAGGAAATATTCCTGTGCCCCTCTCTGTCATAGCTACATTGTGAGTGTCACAGTCTTGCTGTGCCAGAGAACAGGCAGGACGACGAGGATGCAGGATACAAGAACACTTTAATAAATTCACGATAGGCGCACACGCACATGGTAACATTCACAATAACTGACAAACTGGAACACAATGGACAGGAACTGATATAGGGTGGATAACGAGGGGCAGACAGGTGAGCACAATGAGGTGATTAACTAATAATGAGAACAGGAACAACCAAATAAGGACACAGAGGGAGAAACCACAATCTACATTCCATAACATTTAGTTTTTATATGTGTACTACTATTCGGAATTGTGCTAGCTAACCACGTGCTTATTAGCATCTTTGAGCTAGGTTCAAAAGTATCTAAAATTGTCACTACCAAACGGTGGAGTTTATTTGTATGTTTTAGAAGTGTTTTAGTATGCAAGTTTAAATTCTGTAATGTGATGTGGTTGCTACAAAAGCATTACTGTCACTACCGAAAATGTGCAGTTAGTACACAGCAAAATCCCCAGAGTTAAATCAACTCTGCTCAGAGTACATATTGTCCCAATCTACAGAGTGTTAAAGTAACACTGAAGCCGAGTTAAAGTTAATGGTATAATTAAGCGATTGATTAAGTAATGATTGAACATTAGTAAAGAAAACCCGCTGTTAACAATGTTGAAGATGAACAACTAGTTAATTTAACTCTGGGGATTTTGCTGTGTACCGAAACATGGGATGTTTCGTTAAAAATAAAGTATACTGAATTATCAACTAGGATGTTATGATCGTTTTTGGATCAATGTATTTTCAAACTAATGAATCCTTAACTTTGAAATCAGTATAAACTTTTTGCCTTTTACAATGAAATATTGGACTCAAAATACAACAAATCTCATAAATTACACTTGAAATATTGTTAAAAATGTAATTGTTGTTGATTTACCTCTGAAAAAATTTAATAAAATAGCATGTATATATATATATAAAGGTTGCGGGTTCGAGTCTCGTACCGGCAGGGATTGTAGGTGGGGGGAGTGAATGTACAGCACTCTCTCCACCTTCAATACCACGACTGAGGTGCCCTTGAGCAAGGCACCGAACCCCCCCTTTTTTGAAAACATACATATTTTTTCAAGATGTTTACAACTTTGACTTTGGACCAATTCTGTAGAATGGCCCATACATTTAAAGGGGACATATGACGATGCTAAAAATAACATTATTTTGTGTATTTGGTGTGATGCAATGTGTTTACGCAGTTTAAGGTTAAAAAAAACATTATTTTCCACATACCGTACATTATTGTTGCTCCTCTCTGCCCTGCCTTTCTGAAACGTGTCGATTTTTACCAAGCTCATTGTTCTGAAAAGCGCGGTGTGCTCTGATTGGCCAGTTATCCAGGGCATTGTGATTGGCCAAATACCTCAACCGTGTGGCGGAAATGTTATGCCCCTTACCATAGTTGGAAACGCACAGCGTCTCCATGACAAAGCGGTGGTGGCAACAATACTACAGCGAGAATAAAAGTTACGCCTTCTTTCTTTAAATAAATATTTGGGCAGTGTTATGCAAATCTTCCCACTCAGTAGCGTAGATTTGTGGGGGCGTGTTTGAATGAGGCATTTTAGGAAGGTGTGGTTGAGTCTTAACTTTTAGATAGAATATCTCTTTGGGTTTGAGACTTTAATCTTTGCAACTTTATGGATCTTATATATGCACAAACAGCTTGTATCACTCCAAAGAGAACATGAAATCATGTCATATGACCTCTTTAAAAAGATATAGCCCCTTTAAGTGGCTTAATGAAATGAGCAACATTTTTAGCTTGTAGTGTAGCTAACATTGTTTTTAAAAGAGTTAATTAAAAGAACTAATCACTGTTGAACTAATCAACTGAATGAATTTTGGGTCATAAAATAATATATAATTAAAACATATTTTTGTCATTGGAAGAATACCTGCTGCTCCGGATTTGCCATTGACACCAGGGGCGGAGGTGTCATTCTCATATTGTTCCAGAAAAATCTGGTCCAGGCTGCTCTCAGGGTCCTCCAGGTAGGCCTTTCCTCCTCCTCCTGCTGCAATCAGCAAAGGCACTGGTTCCCCGTTCTCCATCTGCCCCCGTGCATCCCAAAAACAACATCAGACTTACTTTTCATTCAAGTAAAATAAAAAACCTCCTATGATTCCAGACAAGCCTTCACTTCCATCTGTATTTCAATTAGGACGACCCCAAATTATTTCAGGATGTCTCAAAAATGCTTGTCCAGACAGGCACTATCAGGCGACGACTGCCGTCCACATGGTTCCCCTTAAGGGGACTCACAAGGCTGTGATGGATATTTTTAAAGATGTGTTTGAGACAAGAAAACGGGAAGAAAATAACTATTTTACCCGATAAACATATGTGGCTCCTCCACCACCACCTCCGCCCCCTGCCCACTTTAAGGCCGAACCATCGCTGTCAAAACCATCTTCTATCACAGAAGACTCCCCAAGACAGATATTATGGGTCAGGGGGTTCCTCTGTAAATATTTGAAGAAAACATATACAGTAGATGTAAACAGAGAGCTATACATAAATACATTGCAAATATCATGGCAACCCAATGGACAAGTCTGAGTTTCTGCTTCACTCACTCCTGATCTATCTATCTATCTATCTATCTATCTATATATATATATAGATATAGATATAGATATAGATATAGATATATACAGAGCCTAAAATTAACACTCGCCAAGCGCCAATTGCGAGTAAAAATCGGCTTTGGCGAGTATATGAAACTGTGTCAGTTGCCCGATGGCCGGTAACATTTTTATAAATTCTAACAGTGCAATGTCGTGAGAACATAAACGTGAACAAATGTGAACAACGCTCCATACAGTTAACGGGTCAGTGCTGCTTCATCACAACAGTGTAAACCTTTGCAATGTAAATAT